GCAAAGTTGGAGTCAGGAGGGCTGGGGAAAAGCTATCGAGGAGAGATATTTAAGATGAGGCCTCAGTTTTTCAAAGATTGGTAGAATCTGCTTAGTGAAGAAGATAATGAAGTGAGTAGTTCATAAAGTTCAATTTATGAGTATAAAACCTGAGGGATTATAATTTTTTCTTAAAGGTGAACCAGATTTCAGTCTGAGTATAAAACTTTTTATGTAATACATCTGTTTAACAAATAAAATTAGATCCAGCAATCCCACTATTGGGTTTATATCCAAAGTAAATGAAATCAGTATGTTAATGAGGTATCTGCACTCCACACTTATTGCAGCACTGTTCACTACAGCCAACATATGGAATCAACCTGTCTATCAATGGATGAATGTGTAAAGAAATTGTAGATATATACACAATGGAATACTATCCATCCTTAAACAAAGAAGAAGGCTGGGCAAGGGGGCTCATGCCTATAATCCTAGTGCTTTGGGAGGCAAGGGCAGGAAGATCCCTTGAGGCCAGGAATTTTAGACCAGCCTAGGCAACACAGAAAGATCCCATGTCTACAAAATTTTTTTTAAACATTATCAGGGCATGGTGATGCATGCCTGTAGTCCTTGCTATTTTTGAGGCTGAGGTGGGAGGATTGTTGAGCCCGGGAGTTTGAGGGTGCAGTGAGTTATGATCATGCCACTGTACTCCAGCAGAGACCACCCAGAATAGAGATGCATCCATTCCCAGCCAGGGATAAGAGAGAGGGAACCAGCGAAACCTGACCAGCAAAACTGCCCTTAGTGCATCCTAGCCATCCTCCAGGCCCACAGAATGCAAAGCCACTCAGCTAGGTAAGAAGAGTTTTGACACCTCCCCATCCTCCTGGAGTGAGGAAACCTGAGTAGGGGGTGGTAAGTTGAGAGGGAGCAAAACAAAACCCAAACAAACCAAACAACAACAAAAAGAAGGAAATGCTACCATTTACAACAACATGGATGAAACTAGAGGACATTATGTTTAGTGAAATAAGCCAGACACAGAAAGACAAATACCACATACGTTCACTTACATGTGGAATCTATAAAAAAGTTGAACTACAAGTAGAAAGTAGAATGGTGGTTACCATTAGAAGCTGTGGCGGGGCGGGGATTGGAGAAATGTTGGTCGAAAGATTTCAAAAGTCAGTCAGATAAGAGGAATAAGTTCTAGAGGTCTATTATACCATATGGTGACTATAGTTAATAGCAATGTATCCTATTCTTAAAAACTGCTAAGACAGGCCAGGTGCGGTGGCTCACACCTGTAATCCCAGCACTTTGGGAGGCCAAGCAGGCAGATCACGAGGTCAAGAGATCGAGACCATCCTGGCCAACATGGTGAAACCTTGCTCCTACTAAAAATACCAAAATTAGCTGGGTGTGGTGGCATGCACCTGTAGTCCCAGCTACTGGTGAGGCTGAGGCAGGATAATTACTTGAACCCGGGAGGCGGAGGGTGCAGTGAGCCGAGATCGCACCACTGCACTCCAGCCTGGTGACAGAGAGAGACTCCGTCTAAAAAAAAATTGCTGCCGGGCGCGGTGGCTCAAGCCTGTAATCCCAGCACTTTGGGAGGCTGAGACGGGCGGATCACTAGGTCAGGAGATCGAGACCATCCTGGCTAACACGGTGAAACCCCGTCTCTACCAAAAAATACAAAAAACTAGCCTGGCGAGGTGGTGGGCGCCTGTGGTCCCAGCTACTCCGGAGGCTGAGGCAGGAGAATGGCGTAAACCCGGGAGGTGGAGCTTGCAGTGAGCTGAGATCCGGCCACTGCACTCCAGCCTGGGCGACAGAGCCAGACTCAGTCTCAAAAAAAAAAAAAAAAAATTGCTAAGACAGTAGATTTTCAGTGTTCTCACCACAAAAAGAGATAGTGGTGTAAGACAACACTTACGTTAATTAGCTCGATTTAGCCATTTCACAATGTATTCATATTTTAAAACAACATGTTGTACACCATAAATAGGTATAAATTTTTGTGAATTAAAAAATAGAAATAAAAATAAAAGCAAGGAAAGAAAAGAAAACAGGGTCATGAGTATAATGCTCAAAGCTTAAAGGATGAGAATATCAGTTAGATTCTCTGCGAAGCAGAAGCTGGAGTTCGGAGCAAAAGAGGTTTCTGTTTGACGCCACCGCGCCCGATGGAGCAAAAGAGTTTTGATGTGGGGAAAGGCCTGGAAAAGATAAATGGAGAAGTAAGCAGAGTGGAGCCAGAAGGGCTTCAGACGTTGATGCATGTCTCACAGTCTCAGCTGACTTAGCAGGGAGCTCTGGCACCAACTGCCCGTTAGAGAAGGCTCGTGGTGGGCAGGCATGTCCAGGCACTGGGACTCTAGCTGTGCAAGAATGTCCTGGTGCCAGGACCCTTGCAGTACACAGCCAAGGGCTGGGGCTGCCAGGAAGAGCGTAGATCCCAGAGGTGCTGCAGCTAGAGCCTGTCGGTTAACTGCACTTCTTGCAGCCAAAACTGTATTTACTCTTGAAGGGAGAGCCGAGGCTGCTACAGTGAGTATGCTGATAGCCAGAAGGTAACTGTTCAGATTTATTAAACCTGTCATCATAAGTAGGCGTAAACAGTCCATAATGCCTACTGAGGAGAGGAAAATAATTTCCACCCCACTGAGCTCTCCAAGTCCAGTGCAGAGAAAGTCACTTCTGAGAGCATGATTGTCAAGTCTAATTTTCATTTCTTTACCTTTTTTTTTTAAGTGACAGGGTCTTACTCTGTCACCCAGGCTGGAGTGCAGTGGTGCAATCATGGCTCACTGCAGCCTCAACCTCCTGGGCCCAAGTGATCTTCCCATCTCAGCCTCCCAGCCAGCTGGGACTATAGGTAACCACCATACCCAGCTGAGTTTTTTAATTTTTTTTTTTTTTGTAGAGATGGGATGTGGCTATGTTGCCCGGGCTGGTCTCCTGGCCTCAAGGGATGGATCCTCCCACCTCAGCTACCCAAAGTGCTGCGATTATAGGTGTGAGCCACAGTGCCTGGCCAAGTGTAATTTTCATTCTTGCTCATGGATTGTGATTCAAATAGAACTTCAATTTTTTTTCTCTCATTGCTCTTTTAATCTTATTCGGTGGGGTAGTCTTCTCTGCCTCAGATGAGAACGCTGGCTGAGGTCTCAGTCCAGAAATGAGTACTGGTCTCGGTTTAGAAATGAGTACTTCCTGTCCCATGTAATATGCAAAATTCCAAACTTACCTTATTATCAAATAATCTCCCTTATCCTGGCTTAGGTCTTCCAGGCTAGAGGCCGGCAGCTGGGGAGGGAGCAGTCTCTGCTCTCTACTATGCTCAGCTTGCCTCTCCCAGTCTGTTCTCCTCACCAGTGCTCCCCCTCAACTATCCTCCCCCCACTCAAGTTTCCCCACTCCAAGAGGATGGAGAGGGTGGGGAGGTGTTAAAACTCTTCTTACCTCGCTGAGTGGCTTTGCACTCTGTGGGCCTCAAAGATGAACTATTTTCTGTTAAGGGCAGTTTTGCTGGTTAACTTTTGCTGGTTCCCTCTCTCTTACCCCTGACCAGGGTGAATGCCTCTCTATTCTGGGTAGTCCTTTGCAACTCCTTCCTCAGCCCCTGGATATCTGGCCACACATCTCATCTCCTCCTCCCCAGAGACCTGTCCAAATGCCCCCATCGTAGAGCACCCAGGACAATCAAGCAGGCTGTGTCTCATGGGTGGCCCTTAGCTACCCATCACAAACATTCCTTGGCCCGACAGATCCTAGGATCTACAACATGGCACCATACTCCTGGCTCCCTCGTGGGAGCGCATTACCAGTTTTAACTCTCCCAGACCTGTCATAGGTGCCTGTGGCCTCTGACTCTCACCTGCAGGGCCACATTCCAAAGCTCCCTAAGCCCTCCCCTTGAAGTCTCCTTTACTTGGCTTGTGGTCAGAGGTAACATCACAGTATACCTTGGGGAAGAGGTGTGGACTCACAGTAAAGTTCTTTCTCTTTCCCTATCTCCCTTTCTCAGCCCTCCATCCATACATGAGGGGGTTCCAAAGGCAGTGACACCAATTCTCGACTCCCATTGTATATTCCTCAAGGGCAGATCTCCCTCACATTGCCTTTGATCTCCTGATACCCATCACACTGTCAGCATAACTAAGGCAGGAAGAGATCCATTCTAACATCTTGCTTGTAGCAGACACTTAGGGTTCCCTGTAGCGCAACCTGTTTACCCACCTGACTTCTACACTGCTGTGTGGACAGTTTCATGATGGAGTGCCCCATGAAGTTTGCATCTGGGCAGTCTGTTTTTCTGCTTCCAGGCTTTCTCTGATTATCTTTTTTTTTTTTTTTTTTTTTTTTTTTTTTTTTTTTTGAGACAGAGTCTCGATCTGTTGCCAAGGCTTCAGTGCAGCGGCACCATCTCGGTTCACTGCAACCTCCACCTCCCGGGTTCAAGCGATTCTTCCACCTCAGCCTCCTGAGTAGCTGGGATTACAGGCGCGTGCCACTATGCCTGGCCAATTTTTATATTTTTGTAGAGATGGAGTTTCACCATGTTGGCCAGGCTGGTCTTGAACTCCTGACCTCGTGATCCACTCGCCTCAGCCTCCCAAAGTGCTGGGATTACAGACATGAGTCACCGCCCCTGGCTGCTTCCAGGCTTTCCATATGACAGTAGAAGGCCACCCAACCCAGCAACTGGGAAGTATGCAGGTTTGGTGGGTCCAGCTAAGGGAGTGCCACGTTGGTGGGTAAATGTGGATAAATGTTCCAGCCTCCCTGCCCTATTCCACGAGCAATTCTGAGGCGTGTTCTCCCTGGTTCCTCAGAGGGATTGGGTCCCAGCTGTCCACAACAGTAATCAACTATTAACACACCTTTTTTTTTTTTTTTTTTTTTTGGCTTTCCTCCCTTCCTTGTCGCATTTTCCTCATTCTTTCTTCTTGGATTATCTCCCAGAAAGACTTCCTCCACCCAAGTTTTTATCTAAGGGTGTGCTTTGGAGAGAGACCAAACTATGACATTATTACATATAATAAAGTAGTTGCACCAGCAATGTTTAGACTCTCTCTTCTTCCTGGATCTTTGGGAGCAATTAAGCCCATAAGAAATCAGACACTCACCCCAATTCTGATGTAACAGCCTTGGGAGAGGTTGCAGTGAAAAGCTGGTCCTGCTGTGGTGGAGAGAATGGAGAAAACATAATAAAAGGCTAAACCTTTGCTCAAACTTTCTCCTCAGCTTCTCTTTGGATCTGGAAAGCTGGGGACCCACAGGGCAGAGCCATGGTACTGGAGGAGCCATTAACAAGTAAGTTCCAAATAAATCACCTCCCGCCCGAGGCAACACGTGTTGAGATCTGCATGTGTCTTCTATCCTTCTATTCTGAGGCTGGCCTGTGCACTTGATATATGGTTTCTTTTTCCTTTCTTTTCTTTTTCTTTTTTAAGTGTCAGTGTTAAAAAGGTGATTATTCAATTGAACCATGAAGGTGGATGGAGAGAACTGTAAGAGTCTGCAAACTGTTGAAGTGCACCCAAAGGAGTCATTGTGAAGCAGAGGAGTAAAGAGTGTTCCTCACAGAGGGAGCAGCCTGTGCAGGATCCTTGGGGTGGGGGACACAGCTGGGCACACTGAAGCACAGAGAGAAGCCCACACAGGCGGGGCGGAGAAGAGAAGCAGAGAAGAGTGGAGATGAGGCTACAAAGATGGACTGCAGGCAGCTCACTGGGGGTGTATAGACCCGCTCAGTTTATAAGTTACGCACTCAAGAAGTTTACCTTTGGCTGGGCGCAGTGGCTCACGCCTATAATCCCAGTACTTTGGAAGGCCGAGGCAGGCGGTGGAGATTTGAACATATTTAAATGCTGACGAGCAGAACCAGTAGGGGGAGGGGTTGAAGATTTGGGGAAAAGGTGATGATAATGGAGCAAGGCCTCTCCCTGACCCCACACCACCCCATACACACCCAGAAGACAGGAGGGAGCTGAGATTCAGAGCCAAGGGAAAGGAACTGACCTTGGATTACAAGATGGGCCTCGGCTATAATGAGATGAAAATGGGCAGAGATGCAGATAGGTTCGTATGTGACAAGCCATTAAGGGAAGGCCTGCACAGTGGTTTTGATTTTCTCTGAAATGGAGTCAAAGTTATCTGCTAAAACTGAAGGTTTACGTGAAAGGCAGGCATTTCAAGAGAATGGACACAGTTTGAAGCAGGTGACGTAACCATGTGTTAAGGTTTCTTAAGAAGGTCCTCATGTAAGCCTGTTATCCTGCCCTAATTATTAATAGTGCCCCCTTTCACTCTCAGAAAGTGCTCTAGTTTGGAGGATAAGTTATGGTTACCCTAGAGCAGAAGCAAAATCTTCCTAAAGGAATCATACCGAAACAGCTAAACTTTAAGAGTTCAAGGTGGCCCTTACCTTTTTCAGTCAACAACTTGCCCTAAAGATTTAGAAGGAGACGGTGGGTGGGCAGTGTGGAAGAGCATGCCTCTGGAACCAAACTACTTGGGTTCCTTTGTCTGCAGGATGGGATACTCACAATACCCGCTTTATAGGGTGGTTGTGAAAATCAGATGAACTAATGGCAGAAACCATTCGGTGTGGAGTTGGCTCATGGTAAGGGCTCAATGAATGTGAGTCATGGTTATTACTGAAGGTTGGTTAAGCATAAAGACAGTGGGCTTTGGCATTAGGAAGACCTGGGGCCCCTTGGTAATTGGCCAGGGTCTGTGATTATTGAAGAGAATACACAGGAAGTCTCTAACATAAGACACGTGAATAGGTTTTATTCAAGAATGTTAGCTGGCGGCACCAATCAGCCCATAGTCTAAAGAGACTGCAAGCATTGCTGTTGGGAGGTACAACCCAGCTTGGTGTTTTCCATGCCAGCCGCCCTTTCCCCAGACCAGCCTGTTACATATGCAGAGATGGAACACGCCAGGCTGATCCCCTTAACCACACTGCAAGGGCAACCCATTCCTTGTCTCTCAGGCTTCACATATCTCAGATTGGTTCATGCACACACATACCCTTCCCTCAATTTACCTCGTAAGCACAATATGTCTGCCCTTCTTTCCTAAAATGGACTAGGCTCATGTTCTTCTCAATTGCATGTCCTGTGACTCCCTGATGCTTATTGCTCTCAAAATGTAGGTTTCATACAACCTGCATCACAATCAAGCTGAGAGCTAGTTAAAACGCTTACTCAGGCCAGGCGTGGTGGCTCACGCCTATAATCCCAGTACTTTGGGAGGCCAAGGAGGGCAGATCACAAGGTCAGGAGTTCAAGACCAACCTGGCCAACATAGTGAAACCCCGTCTCTACTAAATATACAAAAAATTAGCCGGGCATGGTGGCAAGTGCCCGTAATCCCAGCGACTCGCGAGGCTGAGGCAGGAGAATCACTCAAACCCAGGAGGCAGAGGTTGCAGTGAGCAGAGATCGCACTACTGCACTCCAGCCTGGGTGACGGTGCAAGATTCTGTCTCAAAAAACAAACAAAAACACTGATTCGGACTCACTGAGTCACGATGGGGGAAAGCAGGGTGTGGCCTGTGAATCCACCTGCTTATCAAGGTCCCCGGGTGATGCTACTCTAAGCTAAAGTTTGGGAATCCCTACACTTCACCTACTCCTCTGTTCTGTTGGAGCAGAGAGGAAGTTCCCCAGCCAGTGATATCTTGTTTCCAATCACAAAGGGTTTCTTTCCCCCTGAGTAGAGCCATGAAACAACACTCTGCTTCATTCTTGGTCTGGCCTTTGGAGAACATGAGAGGGGCTCCGGGAGCTTTTAATCTGTTTTCCTGGGCTTTCTGAGGAGCTGTCTCAAGGATTGCCGCAGGGAAGCAGGTGCAAGGCCAGGGAGCTTCAACCACAGACAGGGTGCTTTTATCTTTTCACGTAGGGAGTTCTGATGAAGAACTTGTTTGAAAATAGGGTGCTGTTGCTAAAAGAAAAAAGTTTAGAATCTATGGATCTTGTCCAACCCTTTATTTCACAAATTAAAAACTAAAAAGCAAACAAACAACAAACAAAAACCAGAGGTTCGGAGTGGTGGAGAGACTTCCTCAAGGTCACAGTTTAACGGCAAACCTGGGGCCAAAACTCCTGGTGTCTTGTTGGCAGGATTTTACTTGATTAAACTAATTCGAGAAGTAACAAAACTATGCCTGGCATATAGAAAGCCCTCAGTGTTATTATTATTGCTGATGTCATCAGTGATTTGTATTTGTATTCCTTTGCTGTTATTAATTTGTACTTGAGACTGGAGGCACACGAAGACGGCACAAAGGAAACAGAGGGGAGTGGCTTGAGGGAAGCCATGGGCCACCCAGACAAGTCTGCCCATGATGCCATTTTTCTTAGTCAGTTCAGCACTTTTCACAATACAGGCTCAAACTCTAACTCATCGATGTCCCAGAGTTGATCAGAATCTGGAATGCTGCCTCATTTTGTCAGAGATGTCATCAAACTGACATATAAAATTAGCCATTCATCCTACAATTATTTATCAAGCTTCAATTAAATGCCAGGCAGTGTTCTAGGTGTGGGACACAGCAGTGAACAGGAAAACTTATCGTCAGAGTCAAGGTTGGGGGAGGGTAAGCAACACACAACAAACAGATCTGTAACATCAGGCAATAAAGTACCATGAGGAAAAACAAGGCAGGATAAAGGAACACCAAGGGATGGGGACAAGCAGCCTTCTTTGGTCAGAGTGTTCTGATCAAATAGGCCAGTTGTTGTTCCATCACCCTGACATTCCCTCCCTGTACACAGTCAGTATGGGGAGTTGTCAACAGAAGGCTGCCTAGGGAACATGGTGCTAGAGGAAAGGAGATGAGCTAAGATTCAACACTCTGATGACAATCTATGGTGTCCATCTCCAGTGAGGCTCCTTCTGTGAGGTTGCCTGGATACTGTGTCTGGCTGACAGGGTCCCTAGACAGAACTTGAATAGGCACTGTCAGGGTGTGTACTTCTATGACTCTCCTTTTGCAATGTGTCCACACCACCCATCTCATTTTTCTAATAAGGTACATACCTTCGTTTGATTATTTAGTTCGTTCGGGATAATTTGCATACCTCATCTTTGATCCACTAAGTATTGTCCTAATATTTTGGAACTCACAAGGCAATCTCATTTCCTCCTTTTCCAGAGCTATTCACTTTTCTTGCCCCCACATTACAATGTTTCTTTTTAAAAAGATATAAATTATGCTTAATTAACAAATCATAATTATATTACATTTATGTAGTACAATGTGATGTTTTGATATATGTCTACAATTCAGTGATTAAATCAAGCTAATTAATATATCCATCACTTCACTTCCTTGATATTTTTGTGGTGATATATTTGAAATTACTCTCTTAGTTATTTTGAAATATACAACATATTATTATTGATTACAGTCATCCTGCTGTGCAGTAGATCTCAAAACTTATTCTTCTTATTTAGCTGAAACTTTGTACCCTCAGACCAGTAATTCCCCATTCCTTCACACCTCCTCTGCCCACTGCCTCTGGGAACCATTATTCTTCTAGGAATTCAACTTTTTTTATATTCCACATCTAAATGAGATCATGCAGTATTTATCTTTCTGTGCCTGGCTTATTTCACTTAGCATAGTATCCTCTAGAGTCATTTGTGTTGTCCAAAATGACAGAATTTCATTCTTTTTAAAGGCTGATTAGTATTCCATTGTGTGTATACACCTCATTTTCTTTATCTGTTTATCCACTGATGGACATTTAGAATGAGTCCACATCTTAGCTATTGTACATAATACTACAATAAACATGGGAGTTCATGTTAAAAGGATACCCCTCAACACAGTCATTTTAATTCTTTTGGATATATTCTCAGAAGTGGGATAGTTGGATCATATGGAAGTTACATTTTTAGTTTTTTGAGGAACCTCCATACTGTTTTCCATAACAGCCGTACTAATTTACATTCTTACTAACAGTGTACAAGTGTTCCCTTTTTTCTGTGTCTTTATCAACACATGTTATCTTTTATCATTGTGATAAAAGCCAGTCTAACAGGTGTGAGGTGATACCTCATTGTGGTTTTAATTTGCATTTACTTAGTGATTAGTGATGCTGAGCATTTTTTAATGAACCTGTTAGCCATTTGTATGTCTTCCTTTGAGAAATGTCTGTTCAAGTCGTTTGCCCATTTTTTAATCAAGTTACTTGTTTTCTTGCTAATGAGTTATTTGGATTCCTTATATATTTTGGATTTTAACTCCTTATCAGATGTATAGTTTGAAAATATTTTTCCCATTCTGTGGGTCT